GGGGGGACTCAAGTGAAGGATGACAGTGATCATGCGTGAGATAACGAATATTGAGCTCATATCAAATACTATCTGAACTTGATCGGTTTAGTTCTTGAAGGTCTTCTTTTAAATGGTATAAGCTGTTTCTAAAAGAAAGTAATATATACATCAAACCCAAACTACAAGCTAGCCCAGCATGATTCCATTCATGAGCAATATATGATATAATTCTCACGTCACTTCAACATAATGCCTCAAGACACAGAGATTGATGAATTTTCATGCAAAAATCACAGGCTCTGACCTATAGAGGCTTCAGGTTCAAGTACTGAAATAAAAACCTGAATTTATTTTCATTCAAACCAATTAAGAGTAGCCTGATCATCCAGCATTCACAAAGAAGTCTAATATATGGTTGACGCAAAAGATGATAATTTACTAACAATGTAATTATAATTGGCACTTTTAAAATATTAAAATAGGATTAAAATAGGATTTAAATAGGATTTTTATCTTTTCAATGTCTCGTGTTTATGGGTTTTATATCGGTGCATGTATTTTATGTTTTCTTGTTATCATTACCTTATATCAGAGTCAGACCTTAAGATCAGAGTTTTTAGTCTAAGCCCAGATGGGCATTCCCATATATAGGTTATTGGTATCCCCTGGGGGTATCGTTTTCAGCGATTTTACTCTGGAACTGGGTATCGATTTTAGCGATTTTACTCTGGAACAGGGTATCGATTTCAACGAATTTTCTCTGGAACAGGGTCAGGGTTGAATTCCGGAATTATGGATAAAAATTCATGGGGTAAAAATTCGGTCTACACGCAAGCTAGTGCAGGATTTTACTCTGGAACAGAGTATCGTTTTCAGCGATTTTACTCTGGAACAGGGTTGGTATAGTTATCAGCGATTTCACTCTGGAACAGGGTCAGGGTTTTGATGTCCCAGCGGCACACCCCCACCCAAGTTTCGGGGGAGTACCCCCCCCGGGTTGGTATCATGTGGTATAGTATCAATCACATGACAGGTCGGTCACATGACAGTCTTAGACATTTACATATTATGCTATTAATAATATTGTGACTAATTGTACAATTTCTTCTAGTTCAGTCAGGTTTTACATGCCTA